ACACAACATGAGGCTCAATGTGATGAGGTATGGCAAGAGAATTTTCAAGAAATAATGGATAATCTACCACCGCAACCAAGGGTTCCCGTTTCGTGGGATGATCCGACTCTTATCAAAAGCACGATCGCAAAAATGAAACCATATAAAGCCCCGGGCGTGGACGGTTGGCGTGCTCAAGAACTTAAGTTAGTTCCCTGGCTAGCGATCATACACCTGTCACAATTATTTTCGAGAAATTTGGGATAAGGAATTTAGTACTAACCAGATGCTTGCTCGAACTATTCTCTTGGCCAAAACTTCTCAGCCTGCCACTTTCTCTGATGGACGACCGATTACCATCCTAGGATATATTCCCAGACTTACATCCAAGATGGTGGCTGATCAGCTTCTTAATTCCTGGGGTGAAAAGTGGGATTCACAGATTGCCGGTGGACTCCCTTTCCGGGCGGTCAAAGACATTACTGTTCAGCAACAATATTTAATAGAACAGGCCCATGCAACCAACTGTCACTACGGGGGTTTTACACTCGACCTGGTGAAAGCCTTTAATTTAATACCTCGACAGTTAGCAAAACATCTCCTAGTCGCATGGGGTGCTCCAGAACAGGCTATAAATTTTTGGATTCGGTCGCTTAACAACATGTCCAGGATGTTGCAGGTCCGGAACCAAGTCAGCGACCCAGTCCATTCGACCACAGGAGCACCAGAAGGTGATGCTATGTCTGTGTGTGCTATGCTGGTTATTGCTGCTACCTATTTCCGCCGTATGACGAAGATTCCTGTCACTCCTTTCACCTACGCAGACAACTGGACATTCATGTCCACCAATCAGCGGCATCTATTCCGTGCGTTCGTTGACACACTTAATTTTGCCCAAACCATGCGGATGAAAATTGACCTGAATAAGTCCTGGGGCTGGGGGACTAATTCTGCCATGCGACAATTTTGGAAAACTACCGAGGTCCTGTTCCCGAGAGGAGATGTTACCATTGATGTAAAGCTAGCATCACGCGACCTTGGGTGTATGATGCAGTATAGTAAGAAAATTGTCCTAGGATGTTTGAAAACGAGGATTCAAGCGGCTAAGAGAAGATTATACCGCTTACAAAAATTAGACCTCACCATCGCAGATAAAGCAGAGAAGATTCAATCCGCTATTTGGCCTTTAGCCTTTTACGGGGCAGAGAGCCAGATAATTGGAGACTCGCATTTTGTGATTTTGCGACGACTCGCTACCGATGCCTTGGTAGGTAAGCACAAATATGCCTCCTCCCATGTTGCCCTGCAGTATTTGTCAAATAAAGTTATGGACCCTTTGCTTTATGTTATTGTGACAGGTCTATGCACGATCAGAAGGTTGTTCTATTACCATGGCGCCCTAGCCCAAAACATGTGGTCTGATGTTATTGCTGGTATGGCTAGTCAAGGACCTTGTGGAGCCCTAGCTGGGTACCTATCCAAAGTCTGTTGGAATCCACATCCAGATGGTTGTATCGACATGCCAAGTGGTCATCGCGTATGCCTCAAAACACAGTCAACAAAAGAGATTCGTCACATCTGTCGCCACGCTTGGTCAACATATGTATTCTCACAGATTAGCCACCGCAAGGGAGTCACCTCATATCCTTTTGATGCCTATACTCAAATGAAAGTCAACAACCAGTTTTCAGATCGTGAATTGAAACTACTGTGTTTGAACATTACTGGAGGCTTCCAAACGTCAGCAGTAAAAGCACTATGGGACAATACACAATCTGATAAGTGTGAATTTTGTGGGGAAATCGACAATCATGCACATCGAATGCTCCATTGCCCAGATTTCGCCTACATACGATCTAACCACCCGCAAGCAATCCAACTCCTGGAAAAATATCCACATTTGATGTGGTTTCCCCTTGCCACGGTGCATCCCAAAGAATGTGCGTACCACCGACTAAAACTTATGCGAGCAGGTCCTTTTCTTGATCCGGATCATAGTTTTGATGCAGCAAGGCAAATCATTTACACAGACGGAACATGTGACAGACCTCGTTCTCAAAATTGCTGCCGTGCGGCATGGGCCGCCATTCGTCAAATCCGCTATAATCCACAGGACCCGAGTATCCAAGACTTTGAAATTCTTCAAACTTCGCATGTACAAGGTACACAGTCGATTAATCGTGGGGAGCTAGGTGCTGCAGCATGGGTTTCGGAATTTTTTGCCCAACAAATTCCTCGCCCATTTGTCGACTTATATACAGATTCGCAGTTTGTAGTCCATGTCATCGAAAACATTGTCGCAAATACTTTTGATCATAAAACCCACCGCATGGCTCATTGTGACCTTATTCAGAAGATTCGGGCAACGTGGGACCCGTATCATTTTCGCATCCTCAAAACGAAGTCCCACCGCCCACTGCAAATTGCCTCAGATGTAGATGACCTGTATCAAATTTTGGGTAACACACTGGCTGATGAGGTAGCCAAAATTACTAACCGCCAAGATCTGACAATAATGAAAACCATTGCAGATGATATTGATCAACATTGCCAGCTACAACAAGAAGCACTATCTCATGTTTTCCGTTGTCTTATTGATTTGAATACAGTCCACTCCAAAATACACCGTGAAAAGGAAAAGTCTGCCGACGGGGAGGCAGTTGCCGGAACCATTGATGATATCATATACTACAAAGACAAACTAATCAATTGGACAGTGTCCGGGCCTTTGTGGTCTATGACAGGTGATTTGTTACCTGTCGTCGCACACGCGTGTCCCGCAGGCTCAATTTATGCGATCGCAGTTTGGAAATTCTTTAATCAAATGAAATGGAGGCACCCCGACTTACCGCTGGACAAAACAGATTTTGGAATCACCTGGTGTGAACTAGCCTTGCAATTTACCATTTTTGCAGGCAAGTGCCTTCCAGTTTGGATAAACGATCACGACAAAGGATATGCAACTCCTTTTGCCTTTCATTCCGATCAGGTCGCTTTACAGAAACCGGATTTTCGTGGCCTCGGCCATCAAACATCAGCATTTCGTGCTATTGTTCGATATCTCGAAAATACGAGCGGACATAGGCTTTTTCCGCGTTATAAGAAAACAGGGGCTAGTTCACTGATTCGACTTGGTTTTCACCGAAGTTTGATTGGTGGTATTGCCGCCCGTCTGATGCTGCCCCAGAATGCTTTGTCTTATGCTGTGTTGGACACATACATGTCTACACCAGGCCAAAGTTATCCACTAAATGTGCGTGTGCCTTTCCAACCACAGCTTGACCATGCAATGATTCAGCACTCTGAATCTGAGCAACTCACTTTCGAAAAGCGACACAACTTATACCAGAGGGTAAAGAAATGCATTCGATTGAAACAAAACCTTGCTGACCTTGCGTGGACCACATAAATTAGATGCCTGTTGTTCGACCTAATTCATGTGCGGTCGTGACCTTTTGTATAGAAGTCCTTATCGCACTTTGTTGCGCATGTTTTTGTACACAGTTTTCATTGCTGTGCATACCAACCCTAGAGTACCCCACGAAGTGGAAGGGCTGTTAGGGGCGTGACCGTGACAAGTCCGCAAGTTTGTGTGGCAGCGTTTATCTATGTTTATCTATCTGAAACCCTTTGCTCCAAGCACGCATCAAGAGAGTTTCGTCCAATGCATGCCAGTAGACAATGCAAATAGGAACTTCTCCATAGAAAAGTCATGGAGAGTCATCATTCCCGACCTCCAAGAAAAGGGGCGGCGGCTAGTGGGCACGGAACAGTTTCCTTCCTCTACGGGTTTCGACGGCATAGTCGCCATCTAACCGCGGCAGCTCCCATCTTCGTCGCGAGCTCCACCCACGATCAGGATCTCCATAATTTCTTTTGGCTTTGGGGCGAATGAGGGCGCATCTCCTTGTTTGCGAGAGTCATTGAGTCATTAAGGCCTTTTGCGTCATGTGTATCAGTCGCCAAACTGCTCCGACCGGTTCCATGAAGCGCAAAAAGACCTGGAAAGGTACCAGCAACACACGTTGGGGGACACCGGGACGAACGCCCAACAACCCTGCAAGCGATTGAAATCAGCATCTCCAAAGCTTCCACGCCAACCAGTTCGCGGCCCCAAATCCAACATGCCACAGCCAGAAGTGTCTGCGATGACCTCGTCAAGCGTCGCCACGCCAATGAAGTTGTTGGTCAAAGCGCCTGGAGGTTTGGAGCTATCTCCTCAACCCAACGAGCACTACTCGTGTTCCGCTTAGGGCATTGGTAACTTTGTAGAGAAAAATTTAGAACGAGAAGCCACTTCTGGGCTGGCCTCAGAACTGGCAACTTTGTAGTGCAAGTGTAGTGTGGCCAGCAGCTTCTTGGAGCTGTGGCCTTGGTCCTTGATGCTTTTTTGCTGTATCTAGCCTCCAGCACACCGTGTGGCGAAATTACATCTGTGATGTCGCTGTGCCTCTGGAGCCTCCCGCGCTTTGAAGTGGCCCCGACATGCGCGCAGCCATCTCGCAGCACCCGCACCAGGACCCAGCACCGGCACCAGCACCAACATCAATTAAGAACCCTCTAGCTATCGCTATCTCGGGACATGAATAAGGTTGGTGCCAGGGATGTAGGTGTCTTTGACCATCTAAAGATTCTGGACCCGACTCTGAACCTGCTACCATGGACAATGGTGCTAAAGGTGACGAGGGGAGTGGCAACTCCTCCACCATGCCGGGCCAAATTCATGAGGGAATCAAACATCAAAAAATTGTTTGTGTCTTCGGGTGGTTTCCCTGGTCATGAACTACCCGAGCACTGTTCACCCCAGGTAGGTTTGGCACAGTTCCAGTCCCAATGTAACCGGGCCTTAGCTGCCTGCTGAAGGTAGGCAGATTGAGCAAAAAGGGGCAATAGAAAGCTGGCATATGAAGAGCTTTGATGTTTTGAATGAACAAAGAAACCATCCTTTTGCAGCTGGGACAGCCACAGCATGGTCGCATCTCGCATTTTTGGCGGCTCTTGCATTTTAACGGGGCCAGTGCCTACGCATCACCTGAGAGAGCTGATTCCGCCCTGTTCAAGGCCTTCATCTCTTCAGCACGCGCCTGCGCAGTCGGGCCGAGCGCTCAAATATGCAGAATTCTCTTGCTTGAGGTTCGCCCCTTTTGCCAAGGTCAGCCCACGCCGGGCTTCACCTTTGACTTTCTTGTGTTGGTCATGCCAAATCTGAATGCTGTTCAAATGCTTGAAAAATAGTCAATCAAAAAGCGCAACCTGGTGCAGCTTCGCCAAACTTGGGAGTTGCAAATGTTGCGGCAGAAGAGGGCTCCAAACAAATGGCTACAAGTTAGGGTGAAAACGGCAGCCACATTATCAGAAAAACCACAAGTGTCCGTCATGGAAGACGAGCTGTTGGGAAAACAGGCAAGCGGGAGCAAGCTGTTGGAAACAGTCTGGCAACGATTTGTTGTGATCCAACTTGCCTCGGACTCCGTGGACTACAGTACGAGGCTCAAACATGGTTCCTCATAGTTCTTTGGCGCCATATGCTGGGGCCGATGAAAAGGTTGGGCGACTTAGAGCAATCTGTCCTTCCAAACCTTGTCGATGCCCCAAAGGTCTTCAGAAGGCATAATGCAGCAAAAAGACACACAATACAATATTCCAAAGGTTCAAGCTTAGAGCCTTCTGCCGCACATCAAAGCGGCTAAGCAAAAAGTCACAACCTGACCAGTGCTAAGTTGAAAAACAATCTTCACCGCATAGGCATGCCATGTGTGTGCTTAGCTTGTCTAGTTGGTCCCAATCAAATTGTGATATTGGTTTTGAGAGGGTCATCCATGTGCATACAAACAGAATTCTTGAGATCTCACTTGAGCATTTCTCATCGAAAACACAACAAATGCCAAGCAACTCTCATGGAGTTGCCCCTTCATTGCCAGCAACTGCTTGAGCTCCGATGTCGTCACTTGGCCAGCCGTTCGCAACTCTGTGAGACACGTAGTTTGCTCAAACAATACATTGAGAACAATGTCTGGTGGGGCTAAGTGGTCGACAATGCTTGGCTTCAGACGTTTCAGCTAAAAGAACAGCCTGGATCAAGTGGGGAAAGTGCAGCTGAGCTGCAGCAAGCCCCAGAAAAATACCATCAACATTGCGATGTGATAAACTGCTTGCCGAAGTGGATTCGATCTTTGAGGTTCACAAGTTGCAGCGGCTGCAACGAAATCTGCACGTGGAGCTTCGCAAGGTGCTGCGCCTGCCCCGAAATCTGCACGGCTCACACAACGCTGCGCCTGCCATGAAATCTGCTTCACAAAGCGTTGCGCCTGCCACGAAATCTGCATGTCCCTGTCCACGTTCACAAAACGCTGGGCCGTCGACGCAATGTGCACTTCGAGGTTCACAAGTTGCGGCGGCTGCCCCGAAGTCTGCACTCGAGGTTTACAAAATGCAGTGCCTGTGACGAAGTCTGCACATCAAGATTCGCAGCCCTGCCAAGGCGTTTCATAGCAAGAGCGCTTCCAAAGACAACATCAAAATGCAAAAGCGCAGCTTTGGTTTTCGCTCGAGACTTCCTCTGGTTTCTGAAAGCGAGCCACATGTCCAAAGGTTACGATTCAACGCACCTGCCACGAAATCAGAGCGCGCTGAAGACCACCACCATGTCCAAAGCACTGCGCCTGCCACGAAATTTGCGCATCGAAGTTCCCTTGCGCCTGCCGCGAAAAGTGGTCACCAAGCCCGATAAGCGCACGACACCACAACGAGAGCGCAGTCGAGGAAAGCACCCGCTCGTGAATACTTGAACAATCACATCGATTTGATTGGATAGATCATTTTGTAACCAGTCAAGGGGCTTGACTTGAAATGATCTTCGTGCTGCAGGTTCACTGCTTCATGACTTTGCACAGCAGCTCTGCTGCAATGTGTACAGCGCTGCGATATCTAACTTATATAACAACACGCACACCCCACAGAATTGCACCACAAGCAGCTAGATGAAGGACGATAACGAAAACACACACACACACACACACACGCAAACACACGCAAAGATACAGATTTCCTGTCAAGTCAACCTGTGCGTACCTGCATCCCGCGCCACTTGTTCTCTTTTGAAATACCATTCTGCTTCACTGCTACTGCAGCATTGGTCTTTGATGTGAATGCCTCAGGAATACATTGTATAGAAATGACTCTGTCTTCGATGCAAAACAAATTCCCTTCTGTTTCTATGTCTGCACTGTGATGCTCAAGGCCAGCTCTTCGAAGCTTTCTTGCGATGTTTGTTCTGCTTCCATAGCTTCTGCAATCATAGCCTGCTGTTCTGCATAACAAGGCATTTGAAGTTCAACAGCAGGAATGGCAAAAAAAAAATCCAGCCTCAGAATCTTTGATCAATTCTAGCAACATCTCCATCACCTGGCCTAAGTCTTTCGAGCAAAGCAGGACAAACATCCAGTAACTTGGAGCTGGACCAGAGCCGCCAGCAGCGGCACCTGAATGCACTGCCCCATGTTCATTCGAAGAAAATTGGCTAGCCGCAGATCTGCCTTTGGTCTGGGCAAAGCTTCCCTCTGCCTGGCAACCCAAAGAAAGATAAGAAAGAACAACACGAGCCAGATCAGAATGTCCAGCTAACCATTGAATTGGAGATTGCAGTACAGACATCGCCTGGCTGAATTGAGATTGCAGTACGGACATCGCCTTGCAAAGTACATCAAGCGACTCAAAAGAGCCTGCAAAAAAACTTTAGGTTTGGTTGAAGTTTTGGAGACCCCAGACTCGATCAAGAAAACATGTAGCTAGTAGTAAGGGGTAGGTAGTAGCAACGCAGAAGGGCTCAGGCTTCTTCATGGAAGCTCTGATTCCTAGACTTTTGGGGAAACTTAACACATTGCATTATGATAATTGTTGATGATTTATGAGTAGGGAACAACTGCATCCACATCTCACGGTTGTATGTTCTAGTGAATCTTGAAATTGGACGATTCAGAACACCACCATACAAAGGACACCATGGCTTGAATTCATGCCAGCCTGTTGTAGCGACGCCTTCATTTCACGCTGCTCAAGAACCAAAGTCTGGAATTCGCTATTCTCCTGATCTGGGTCTAAATGGTCACGTGAACATGTCATGTTCGCATGAGACGCTCACGGAGTCCTTCTCTCGACTTTGACTGGCCAGCCTCATCTGCTCTTCCAAAGAGCCAATCTCTTTTTGCCTCAGCCATTTCACTTGGAGACCAAGTCCGTCTTAGTCTTGTCTTGCTTCCAAGGCGATAGCAGGTTTGTTGCTTGATTGCCAGCTGCCTGGATTTCGGCCTCATTGGTGAGGTGAAGGCAAAGGAGGGGGGTTCTACTTTCCTCACAAGCTTCTTGAAATGTCAAAAAGCAAAGCTCAAGTACCAGAACCTAGAGAAACTACTCACGCTTGGAAAGAGCCTCCAATTTCAGCGTGTCTGCACTTTGCGCCCGAATTGTCCGATTCTTCGCCTATCGCAACTTGCTTTGTTCTCTGCAGCAATGCTGAGAATAGACGATCGCTTTGACTTGTGTACATAGGCTTTCGCTGCGACCCTACGATACAATAGAGTTGCTACCCTAGCAGCTAGCATTCAAGTTACAAGATCTGCTACACTTGCACGACGCTGAGTATCAACAGACACTGCAGCAGGTGGACTGTCAGCTCGTTTGATATGCTGGTCTGCATTTTGGATAGCATCGCCGTGAGTGCTGCTGCATAATCCTGCCACCCCATGTTCCTGCTACCGCTCTGTTTGCCCTCTCATGTTCTGTGTCCGTTTACATGATGCTTCGGTTGGATTGTGGGTGGCGTGGAGGTCGGCGTCAAGATGCTAGCGTGCCTTGTTGATACGTCCACGTACATGATTCTTCGGTTGAACAATGGGAGGGGTGGGGATGTGGAAGATGTTAGCATGCCTTGTTGATGTGTGCACATACTACTTCTGGTCGCAAAACATTGCCGTCTGAGTGAGAAGTACTTCTTCATAGAGCTTGCCTCAAAGGTGTTTTTGCACTAACAAACGAGTGGGCCAGCGCGGTGTCGTAAGAAGAATTCACGCAGGTGGCATCGATAGCTTCTGGAGCAGGATGAAGGATGCTATTCCCTCATCTATCTGTCTTCAAAGAAGGACGAGAAACCGAACCCAAAGCTGTTGCACACTGTGCGAGCTGTATTCAGTGGAGTTTGGAAGAGACCTGTCTGGTTTCATGGCCGCGCATTGCCCTAGAGAGGTGAAAAAGAATCTGAAACCTGCGTTTTGAGCTCATGATTCGTTGAGCCGCTTCCTTGTTGAGAAAAGGCATTTGGCCTTCACAGGAGAGCAATTTTGCAGAAATTGCGAGACAGTTTCCGGTCCGGCGGGATGTTCATGGCCATCATCTCAGAACAAATAACATGCTTACTTTCATCCTCGTGGCGGATCCATTTGGCAACCTCTTCACAAGCATAAGTTAAGTCCGTGTTCATCACCCATCATCATGTAGATCGCAGACCGCCCACCCACCAGCAATACAACAACAGGCTGATGTTGGTGGCCTTGGCCCAGTTTTCAATTTTTGATGCAGAGGGGCATGAAAACAATAGAAAACGCTGCTCTTTAAAATGCATTAAATCACCGTTGGTGCTGAAGAGCTCAGCCTCCATGTCCATCTTGTTCTTCTCGAACTGCTCCACACAATACTCTTTTTGCCTGACCTTCAGGCGCGATTAGGATTCTTGAATGTTAGAAGCAATCCACAACTACAGCATGCAGACTCCGCAGGCCTCGTCATTCTGCTCTCTTTCCAAAGACTGACTCATGTTTCGGATTGCAATTCGCACATTCGTGAAGGAGTCGATCTTTGCTCGCATTGCCAGGCTTACCAATCGCAAATCGTACACGGCAGCCTCAAACGAAACAAGTTTTGAGTTCGACTCACTTGAAATGTATGCCTGTCTCCCTGTCTGCGGGTGTACATGGCAGCCCTGTCTTGGCATGCCCTCACCTCTGGACCTGACCTGCAGGCCTGCCTTAAACAATACTGTTCCAGTTTGAGCGAACCGAGAAATCAGCAACGAAAAGCTGACGAAAAGCCAAGGAACCACCCTCAGAAAGACCAGAACACAAAACAACGAGGTAACCACACAAGGCGACCAAAAAAACAGAGAATCAGGGGACCAGGGACCAAAGCACTAAAAACATCGGAGAGAGGACCAGGGGACCAAGGGTAGGATGCAGATGTGCGGATCTTGTTATTGATAAGTAGTGGCTGGCACCCGTACAGTCCATGGTTTTGGATATGAAATTGTTTGTTCGACTTTGAGCTTTTGTTCTATTGTGATAGTGAGGCCGTGGAAGAAGGATTGATTTCACATCTTAAACTTTTCATTGCTTGGACCGAGGATGTCCACTGACATATGTTTGCCGGTAAGAAAACATCTGAAGAAGGTGGGCTCATCAAACTCACATTTTAGCCTTAGCATAACCCTGTCCATTCTGGAAAAGGTCTTGAGAGTCACTTTATAGACATGAAATGGTCATCCCAACCTGCAGGGTAACCTAAGTCAAAGAACTGAGATAAAGTGGAAAGTCCTAAAATGACCTTACCTCAGGTAATTTTCCAAGCATGAATGTACCATGTGAAGTAGTAAATAGTCTTTTTCTGAGCGCTCTGATTCTCTGTCTAAGTTTCTCTAAGTCTAGTGTCAGACTTAGTAACTAGCTTAGTAACCTCAGCATCCCAAAAGCTTCCAGGAAAAATCAGAGTTCATCGTTGAACCTTCATAAATTGTCCAACACAAAAGTTACATGGACACATGGTCAAACTTCTTGAATATCAACAGCATTCAACAGCCAAAGCGGAAGCAAATAAGGAAGAAACAGTTCTGACAGTTCTCCTCATCATCAGTTGTGGGTAAGGTGTGGGGGGTAGATGGCAAGAAACCCAAAAAATTGATGAGAAGAGGTCAGGATACCCATTCTATAGAGGTATTGGGTGGGCCAGACTGATTTATTAGGAGGGATCTGGAACAGGGCTGGGAAGCACACCGGGATAGATGACAAGCAACCTTTCTGGAAGAGTGGCTCTGGCAGGTGGGTAAGGGGTAGAAGGCTAGAAACTTTAAAAAATAGTTGAGTTCATTAGGAGGGCCCTGGAACAGGGCTTGAAATGCTGGTGATGCCAAAGGATGAAAACGCATTTCTTACATGGTCATCACATAATGCATTGTCCAAAAGCAGGGATCGAATCATGATTTGCCAGCACCTCTAAGCATGATTCGTTTACTGCTTTTACTCGTTCCCCAAAAGGCTGGAAATGCTGGGGACGCCAGATGATGGAAAAACATTTCTGACATGACAAAGCAGGGATCGAACCATGATTTGCCTACTGGTAGAAGGCAAGAAACCTTTAATTTCGTGAGGAGAGGTCAGGACACCCATTTTGTAGAGGTATTCAGTGGCAGGCCAGACTGACTAATCCATTAGGAGGGCCCTGGAACAGGGCTGGAAAGCACACTGCAGGAACGCTGGAAGAGTGGCTCTGGCAGGTGGGTAAGGTGTGGCAAGGGGTAGAAGTCAAGAAAATGTAAAAAATGGTGAGGAGAGGTCAGGGCAACCATTTATAGAGGGATTGGGGAGCGCTGGAAAAGGCCTGGGAAGAAACATAAAGAAACCAGGAGAAAACCATAAGATCGAATCTGGCAGGTGGGGGTGCTGCTGGGCGTGCTTTTCCTGATCGTGCCAGGTGATTCTACGCCGGGCACACAGTTCTTCCTCTAAGCATTCAACAGTTATCCTCGTCCTTCCTCTTTTACTTTTAGTTTTCACATGTTTTCATACATGTTGGCAACAACATCACATGTTATTTTTTGCTCATCTCACATTCATGCCACATCATGGTGCTTGAAGGGTAACAGCAAAAACAACATCAAACTCTTAATTACACACACACTTAGACTCATAGCTCAACTGAATGAGTATAAAAGTTCAGAAGCTGGATCACGGATGCGTTAGCACTTGACCATGCTGCAGTAAGACCTTGACTCTCAAAACGGCATGGCGAGGAGTCCGCTAAACAGGATTGTTGGAACATCGGCTCACCGGCTGCTAAGGTAAATTGGAGTAACAGCTTCAGCTTCGTTGCGCTTGGTAGGACGAGAGTGCCACAGGCCCCTGCTGGTGAAAACTCTTAGAAACAGAGGTGGCACACACAAACACACAATTCTCTATACAGTAAAATGATGTCTTGACCCCCTAGGGGGTGGCGGTTCTAAGACGTTTTAATATGGCCCCCCCCCATTTCATAGAGGAAATGGGCAGGGGAATGCCTTAGGGTGGACTTGGCTGTGTTTCCTGGGATTCTTTCTGGAGTCCTGACGGTTCTGGCGGTTTTGTCATGACTCAACTTACGAAGGATGTCCGCTTTGCAGCTGCGGTTGGCCAGTTGCTCTTCCAGAAAGGGTTCAGGCGTTCATTGCTCGGGCCTATGTACAGAAGCCTCTTCAGAGAACCACTTTTGCTCGGAGGTTGGATGTTCCTAGAGAAGACTGATTGATTTGTTTGCAGAGGGCACTTTGAGCCCCACTGGCTAGATTGATGATGGCCAGCACAAGAACCCCCCACTCCTTCACCGCCAAACGGCCGTGACAGACTTGGGACCGCAAGTTGCCCAATCAACTTATATACCGAAAACTGATGGAAACGGAAACGCTAATGGTGCCGACCTGCACTGCTGAAATTGTTTGCGTGGCAAAACAACAAATGATTCATAACATTTGCAGGGCAAGCAACTTTTAGCAACTCATCAGCAAGCTTCTTCCTGTGCAATGAGCTCCTAGACTCTTCCACCTGAAACAAGGGTCACATGCCAGATGGTGCATAACTGCACAAAATCGTTCGGAGACAAATTACATGATCAAAAGCACTACATTTTTCTACGACCGCACTTTTGGGACTCCCTGATTTCTGTTTTTAAGGCCGAAAAGGCGTAGGCCGGAATAAGTAGGTTTACTAGCTTAAGTAGCTACTACCTACGACACAGGAGGACTCAGGCTTCCTAGATAATTTTGGAAACAAACAGTCCAGCATTTCCAGCTCCCCTCGCCTGCAAGAAGCTCTTGTGCTCAATGTCCTCACCGCTCTCAGGAATCACAATGCGTCAAGTTGGCAACATGCTCTTGGTCTTGACTCTCGGTTCTGTTTATATTTCTGTAACATAGACATAGACCTTGTCATGTGCGCCAAGCCTGTAGCTGTATCAGTCCCAGAGAGGCTTTCTTCAAAATTTCAGCAGTTTTCTTGATGGCTGCTTCTTCCTGTGCACAATCAGACAATCAACGCACATGTCAACACGAAACTCTTCTGCTGATTCACTTCATTCAAGTCCCAAATGAAAGGCTTGTCACATGGTCACTAGCCTCAGCTCGGGTCTTCTGACGCTGATTCCATTCCTGGTACAATCATGGCGAATGGCGGTACATGTCAACATGACTCTCTATATAGATCGACCAAAACTAAGCTTTGCGAACAACAGCCGGGCCGCACCCACACCTTCTCCATCCTTTCACATTTGGCTTTCACATCAGCCAAGAGCCTCTAGTACTCGGCGGTCAAATGTGAGTATCTATTGCTGAATCTTCCACCAAGCGCTTGACTCTGAATCTTCTTCAACTTGGATTTCAGCGTTGGAAATCACCTGCCGAGTCACACTTGCATCCGCAGTCAGGGCGTACAATGAGTTCTCAGCCTCATTACTGTTTGAAATCTGTTCAGCTGCTTCAGCTATAGCTTCACTTTTTGCTTGTTTCCTCTCCTCCAAAGCCTCGAATCTTTGCTCAACAAGTCCGGATGAGGCTAGCACAGAATTCTTGTCTTGGCCTTCTCTTCTGCTTTCTTATCTTCAATAATGAGTTGAAATGACTGGGCACGCTGTGTCTCCTCCGGGAAGCATCGTTCACCCTTGAGCAAAGAAATGAATATTCTTTACATAGACAGAAACATAACATACATGCACTCCAGTCCTTGCTCCGGACGGTGCCAAGATTGGCAACCACGTCTGACTCCAAGCGGTCCAGGACAGCGACCACCCCCTGTGAACACGTCGGAACAACAACTAGGAGACTACACTGAGAAAAAAAACGATAAAGTGGATGAAAAAGGTATCCAGCGGTGCCGCGCCATTGCCTCTGTTTGAGGCTTCTCTCGCCTCAATTCTATCTTTCTGAAAACGTGATGAAGATTGACAGCTCTACAAATGGAGCTCTCAGTGCCAGGCAAAAAAGATTCGACTTGGCCAGCTCTCAGGTGCTTTCCTTCAGCTTGCACCACCTGCAGTGAGAGCTACTTGCATTTTTTTCCCGCATGGAAGTATAATGTAAACAGCCACTATGTTTGTTTTACAATATAGTTGCAAGGAGAGATTCAAGAAAACCATCAAGTGTGTGAACGTCACTGTGTTGGACTCCGTCCTTTTTGCGCAGCTTCGCAATCAAACTCGGCTCCTTGCTGCACATGTCGTAAGCCAAATCAAAACACAATAGTAGACCTTTTGGTTCAACATAGAAGCTTGTGCCGGTGATCAATTGGACCCAGAACTAAGAATCGGACTATCTTTCTGTGAGCCTCAGCAATTTCATCAACGAGTCCAAGCAGCCTGGATTCTTCCCTGCTCAGAAAAAGAGCACACAAAGCTTCGGAGTTTTTGACACTATGCAAAAGTTTGCTGCCTCTTGAAGTCTTCAAGTTGTTTTTTGTCTTCCTCTTCTGCTGATGACTGTGCAGCCTGTCAGATTGCAAAGCTCAATGGGTTGAAGTGCTTCACAAGTACTTGTCTTCTTCTTCTTCTTCTTGTTGGCTTGGAAGGCTAGGCTACATTTGGCCTCCTAGGTCCAAGAACGTACAGATTGTCTGGGATAAACTGGAACTGACGATGTCTCCTCACATCCTACTTCCCCAACGAGGGTCTACTGAATCACCGAAGCCGAATAAATATCTGCGAATGCCATGTTTCACAATGTGTTCTGATAATTCTACCCTGATACTAATGCTTGCCATCTGCAAGTGGAGGGCGCACGCAACGACTGGCAACTCTTCACAGTATGATCGTCGGCTTCAAATCATCACCCTCACCCATTTGCAGTGGCAGCTGGGAAAGTGAACCTACAATGGATGCACACACAAAGGGACTGTAAAAGCGCTGTACTGTAGAGGCGGAATAGGGGCACAATGAGCGACTTGAGGCCGAGGGTAGGTGACGAAAGCTAGCAGGGATGCATCCGTGTCAGTGGAGGCGAAGCATACAGCGCCGTCCAGTGACAAAGGACTGGTGGGACATCAAGCGGAGTGAGAGGCAAATCTTTTTTCATAGGCATGGGGCTGTTGGAGGGATGGTTCACAAGGTCTCGCTCATGAGGTAAAACGTTGTGAACATGTAAGACACACGAACAGCAATGACACAGCCAACCTTAGCTTGTGAATCTGTTGAATCTGTTGCATCGTATCCCAAAACCTCCACGGAGGAGTTGAACCAAAGTGGATGCCATAAGAGGTGTCCAAGAGGTATCCGTCTCAGAGGCGTCCCAGGGGGGAGTTGAACCCGCTGGGGGGGGGGCCTCTGCATATGAAGTTTTCACGTGATGTGGCGATCTCGAGGATTCCAGCCCCTCACTTGCTAAAGCAAGGACAACTCCAGCTAGCTGATGCTAGCTTTCGTGATTACACAGGGTATCCAATCGAAATGATGCAAAGGCATGGGATCTGAAGCAGCCTGCACAACTTCTGCAGGGATTGCAATGGGAGTGATCGTCCCCGTATCGGGTAAAGAAAGGCACATTTTCGCCGCTGGGTTGGTTTTGCTGTTGTCCGACTAAGGGGCCTCTATTGGTGCACCGCGCAGACCATTCAACCAAGTCCGACATCGAGCTGAACCATCAAATCACATCAATCTCATCATCTCCTATGCCGGTCTCACGATGCACGACTGGTGGCCCCGGCCCGTGCCAAATCCAGTTCAGTTCGGCAAGCAAATATCAGAGGGTTCCAAGCACAAAATGGAATTGCAAACGCTCTCGCTGTGGAGCAATTGAGGCAAAAGAAAATGCACAAATACACAGCAGAAAGTTTGAAAATGCACCGAAAGCGCCAACAGTGAGTCCAAGCAAAGCTCTCACCGCTGGTGAGAAAGTTCTGAGGCTGAAACACATTCATATCGCTGGTGAGGCAGTATGTTTCTTGATCGCAGGAAGTGCATCCTCCCCACTGGTGAAAGATTCCGTTCCCGAGCCGCCACTGGTTACCACTCGTCACATGTATGTATATAGTGTTGTCAACAGTGAACGTTTTTGCGTAGTGAAGGGGCTCATGAATTGGCTTTTGGCCGACTTGCCAAATCGTCTCTCACTGCCAGTGATTTGGCTGGTGTTACCGCTGGTGAAACAGCTGATGGCCTGCACATGCTGAGGCTGCTAAGCGATGTGGTACAAATGATCGTTAATGAAGTGCAGTGATAGGTTCTTCCTTCTCAGTTCACCTCAGTGGTAACTCAATTGATTGAGATGAATTCAGCTAGGACAGCTCGCTCAGGTTGACTGGCGGGCACAAGTTGCAGCCTGTTTCTAGCGGCAGTTGGATCACGGCAAGTGTCAATGATGGATGCCATCTGATGTAAACTGCATTTCACTTGTATCGCTTGAGGACATATTCAGAGTCAAGTGGAAACGACTATGCATACACCCTGCTCGAGCTTTGCCACACTCTAGAATCTTAGATGTCTTCGGGCCGGAGAGTGAATCCATTAGAACAGCCAAGATTAAACCAGTATAAACCCCAAACAGCTCAGTCGGCAAGAATTGTTGTTGTGGGCGGCCGCAGACTCGGAAAGCAACGTAAACAGTGGGACAGCAGCAGGGCAACAGAAAGACCAGAGGAGGACACGAGGAGGACAACAAGGACAAAAGGATGAGGGAAAGAAAACAACACGAACACACCGAGAGAAGCCGCTAAGCGCCACACAAGGCTTGCGATTGCGCAATTGTTTTCTCGCATTGGACCTTTTGATTGCGCTTGGTGGTGGCGCGCCTTCATGTTGCCATGGTGCCATCTGGAGACCAGCAAAAGGGTAAAAAGGGGTCAACAGGAGGACAAGAGGACAACGGGAGGACAAGAGGAGGACACAGGTTTGGCCAGCAGCAACAACAACAACAAGAGGAGGACGAGAGAAGGGCAAGAGGAGGACAAGAGGAGGACAAGAGAATGACAAGAAGAGGACAAGAGGAGGACAAGAGGAGGACAAGAGGAGGACAAGAGGGGAACAAAAGAAGGACAACAGGAGGACAAGAAAAGGAAAAGAAAAGAGGACAAGAAAAGAGGACAAGAAAAGAGGACAACAGGAGGACAAGAGGATGACAAGATTGCGCACCCAGCATTTTCCACAGAGCGCGCCTAGAACGCGAACACCCGCCTCGCCCAAAAGAAGCCTTTAAACAGTCTAGACTAGAACATCGTTCTCCAGAGCGCACCTGGGTGCGGAGCGCGCTGCTGTGCGTTCCAGAGCACACAGTCCCGGAGCGCGCTGCCAAGAGGAGGACACAGGGCTGGTCAGCGCAGCCAGAGGACAACAGCAGGACAAGAGAAAGACAAGATTTTTTTGTTTGTTGGTTTCCTTCACCGCACCAGTCAGTCGACGCATGTGGGGCGTCATGACCTCAGCAGCAGACAGAAGGGCCCTCAGACACAGCCGCTACGAGTGGTGCTGGGGCAGGTGGTGCTGCAGGAGATCTTGGAGCGCTTCACCAAACTCCAGGCCAAGGGAAGCCAGGATCCAATCTGGGCCAAAGGCATTCAACAGTCCATCTTGATCCAGGACGGGACCTGGCCCTTTCTCCAGTGGGATCCGACCCAGAGGAAGTTGCAGATTTTGCCCAACAAGACCCCTATTGCTGGGGAAAAGATTCAGAGTGCTCTGGAGGAACTTCTGGAGCTGATGAAGAACCCGAACAATCTACTCCGGTTCAAGAGCCTCCAACCACCTAGCTTCAACTCCAGCAAGAAGACGGTGGCGCCCTTCCTGATCCAAGTGACTCTCCGGGACAGCCGCCTGTACGACACCCTGTTGTGGCTGAGTCACAACTCAGTGTGGACGCTAATCGAAGCCCGGCTGCGCCAGCACATGGTCAGACCGACCCAGCTGGTGATGCAGTTGCTCAAGAACCAAGGACGCAATGGCCGCTCTTCTTAGACCAGGACCTTGCCACTGTGATGAGTTGGCGCTTGGCCACGGCCTGTTGGCTCAATGCCACGATGGTTGCTTTTTTTAGAACCAACTCCAATGCCGGGGACTACAGTGAGCAGGATCTCCACCGGGGCTGTGAGATGTTCGAGGCACTGTGTAGTCGCGCTGATCGCACTCTGGATCTATTGCACGACGAGGCCACTCGTTCCTTGCTTCAGAACTGGAACAGTCAAGGCCAGCAAGAGCTTCTGTCCTTCACGGGCCACTTCTTGGGGTGGTGTGCGCCACATTTGGTGATAACACCTGGGAGCGCCGCTTTGCTGAGACTGAGCTAGTCAAGTGTCACGACCAACGGGGGAGTTGGTCCGATCGTTTTGAATCCCTCAGCACCGGCGCCGAAAACACTGGAGCTGCAAGCATGTGTGGATGAGTTGCACATGCAATATGGAATGGTCACCGCTCTAGTTCATGCCAGGCCATGCGTGACCTTGTACACTGATGCCTTTCACAGTGTCCTTTGGCTTCCATGCTTTCGAGAGGCCCAGGACTTGACCGTCGAACACGTGGCTTACCAGATCACTAGCTTGATCGTCCATGCTGGCACACACTTAGGATAGGGTGTACTGAACTGAAAGCGGTGCCACACGCCGGCCTAGGGTTCCATTTCCTAAGGGTACCAGTACGAACCACGGGAACCTGGAGGACTTCAAGAGGAAAGAAGGCCAAAAGCTCAAGGCGAAAACGGACCGACGGGGTGACGGCGTAACGTGCATGTCTGCGGAGCTCACTAGCCCTTTACTAAGGGTAGAAACTAGCTGGGTTCTCGGCTTAGCCCAGTGGCCATGCACGGAAAAACTCAAAGCAGGTACGTGAGAGTGATCAGCTCTCATTTCCCGTAC